TTTAACTAAACTCATATTTGAAGGATTCGTATTTTATCTTACCAATATTTACAGCCAAACCGAGGTCCGGCAGCTTCTGAAACAAATGTTTATCACGGATGGGATCTTTGCACATCACTGGTTCTTTTCACGAGAGGTGACAGTTCACCATTTTCGACTAAGCGCTCAGCTTGGTTCAATCGGCTGCACTAATTGCAGGCGGAATATTCGCCGGCACTCTGCAAAGGCGTGATCAAATTTCTTTGTGACGTTCTTGAAGCCGACTGCAACACTAAGATTCGCAGTGAAAGCAGTAGGTATATTATAAACTACCATTTGTGTTGTTCGAATACGAAGTCCTGCATCCTTCTCTATTCAGTGTGCGATTTGTGCCCTGCTCTAAAGTACTTCGAAGGTCAAGAAGTTACGTGCTGGTCTTGGGAACAAGTGATGAGGTAATGTGTTACATGTAATCTTTTTTCTACTATTCTCTTATTACAGTCTGTATGTTTTCCACACAAACTAGATTTTTCAGGCTGTCAGTCTTGTTCACGACCACAAAGTGGGAAGAACTGTTGCGGTGTTCTGAGTGTTTGCAACAGGATGTCATAGAAAAGGTCTGAAATCTATTACATTGTGTTCAAGTGTTCGTGGTCCATACAGCTGATGTTTATCTCGGAGTTTGTACAGTTATGTTCCTCATATCCCTTAGCTTGCCGGAGCTCCCTCAGTGAAATAAATTGTCTGTCCATCATCGTAGGGCGGAAGTGGTGTAGTGGCAAGTGGCACGCTTACCACGCGAGCGGTCCGGGGATCAAATCCTGGGTCGTGAGTCGCCCGGGCCAACCAAGCCATCCCTCCGGGGTCGGTTAATTGGTACCAGACTTGTCTGGGAGGATAAAACACTGACTTGTACATCGGCTGGCCCCCGCAAGTCATTGTATAGCCCATTCAGACGCCGAAATTAATGTACAAACGGAAGTAGAATGCGTGCCGCATCCAAAAATGAATTGATCAACGGCAAATGCTTTATCCTTTGTCCTTGTCCTT